TTGCCCCGCTTCGGACAGGCCGCATCCCCGGCCTCGCGTGGAGGCAGCAGCCCGGGACGAGGCCGCGGTCCGGGGCGACACCTGCCGGCCGTGCCGGGGATTCGGCCGGGGCCTGCTCGGGGCCGAGGGCTGGGCCCAAAACGGGCCCCTCCTTCCCACACAGCTCCCCGAGGCGAACCAGCCTCCCTTCTCCCACCCCTGTGCCCTGCGGGGCCGCATTGATCCCGGCTGCCCGCCCGCCTCAACACAGAGGCCCCATGCAATTAGGCTGGTGGGTGTTAATTAGAATCACAGGTCAGCGGTGCAGACAGAGGCAGCCAGGCTGACCTAGGGCTGTGTGCAGGGCAGTTTCTTGTCAAGCAGCGCAGCAGGGGAGCTGCCTGTAATTAAATGAGGAATGGTAATTAGTTTATTAGCTGCTGACCTTGTGCACGGCCCCTCCTGCCGGCACCTCATAGACTCGAATCATAGAATCATTAAGGGTGGAAAAGACCAATACGATCCTCAAGCCCAACCCCAGCCCACTCCCACCATGCCCACTGCCCACATCACAGAATCACAGAACGGCCAGGCTTGGAAGGGACTCAAGGATCACGAAGCTCCAACCCCCTGCCACACGCAGGGCCACCGACATCCCCATTTCACAGCAGCCCAGGCTGCCCAGGGCCCCATCCAACCTGGCCTTGAACACCTCCAGGGATGGACGGGGCATCACAGCCTCTCTGGGCAGCTGTTCCAGCACCTCACCACTCTCACAGTACAGAACTTCCCCCTGACTTCTAACCTAAATCTTCCCTCCCTCAACTTAAAACCATTTCCCACATCCCTCAGTGCCACATCCCCACAGCTCTGGGACACCTCCAGGGATGGGGACTCCCCCACCTCCCTGGGCAGCTGTGCCAGCACTCTGTCAGAGAAGGAATTGCTCCCAGTACCCAACCTGACCCTTCCCTGGTGCGAATCAAGGCTATCACTCTCATCACTGTCACCTGGAAGCAGAGACTGACCCACTCCCCCTGCTCTGCCCCAACCCTATAGTGATGCAGGAGGGTATTGTGACAGAAGTGCAGGACCCCACACTTGGTCTTGTTGAAGCTCATACAGTTGGCCTCAGCCCAGTGATCCAGCACATCCGTATTCCTCTGCAGGGCCTTCCTACCCTCAGGCAGTTGATCACTTTCTCCTAACGTGGTGTCATCTACAAACTTACTGAGGGTGCACTTAGTCTCCTCATCCAGATCATCAATAAAGATATTAAACAGGACAGGCCCAGTCCTGATCTCTGGGGAACACCACTCACGACTGGCCGCTGGCTGGATGTAACTCCATTCCCACCACTCTCTGATCCCAACCCTCCAGCCAGATTTTTACCCAGTGAAGAACACAGCAGTCCAAGCCACAGGCTGCCACTTTGCACATGAACTTTCTGCCTCTTCCTACCACAAAGTGCAAATAATCAGGTCTGTGGGCAGTTAGCCCACTCCCATCCTGCCTCCCAGTCAATACCTGGCACCCCACAGCTGCCCCATTTCTGGCCAAGCACAGCAGCACCTCAGGGGGCAGCGCGTGTGTGGAGGCTTTCGGCCCCTCTAAAGGTTTGGGGCGGTTTAGTCGCTTTTTGGTAAGCAAAGCCCCGCATGGAGGTGGATTTGTAGACAAATCCAAGCCCAGTGAGGTAGCTGGTTGACTTTCTTTGCTCTTTATTGCACACTGTAATTTCCTGTTTGCTTCAAAAGCTATTCTTGCAAAGGAGAGAAAAAAAAAAAAAAAAAGAAATCAAACACTTATAATAATTCTGCCTGTTCCTTAGCAGGAGAAAACAAAGATCAGAGCGAACCTCTCAGAGGTCACCAGCTAATTCTGCTATTTAGCCAACGCGCTTTCCCCAGACAATGCAGCCCTCCTGCAGCAGGCCGGCTAATCTGCTTACTCAGCCGGTGCTTTCAGCCCAGGAAAATAAAAGCTCGTGTTCCTAGAGCGGTCAGCTCCCAGGAGTCAGCCCCCACATCTCAGCATGAAGAAACACAGCACGTTCTGGGCCTGGGTATTTGCTTTCATTGTTTTCTTTTTGGATTACCTTCCCAAAGCTTTTGCTAGCAGGAGAAGGTTAAAAAAAAGCCACGGAAAATATTTCTATATGTGTGCGTGTATGCGGTAGATGAGATGGAATATCCTGGCTTAGGAGCTGGGGGTCTCTGGAAAAGCAAAGCTCTAACACGGGCTCCATCAACAGTGAGGGCTTAGTGGGGCTGCAGCAGGAGGAGGCCCATGCATGTGCATTGACCACCCGAACACAGCAGAGCTCCAGTGGGCAAGAAGAAGAGGCACTTTGCCCCTTTTAAGCCCTGCTCCATGGCCCAGCTCCTGGGACATGCCACGAGCTTGGGACTATCGGTCCCACCACCTCCATGGGTACCACCTCCCCACAGCATCCTCAGCTCCCACCCGCTCCAGCTCACCTGACACAGGTCCTGTTCACCTGCAGGGCAGCTGGGATGTGTGGCATGGGATGCCAGAAGGTGAGGTGAAAGGAACTTCGATGGTTTCTTCGGGGATCTTTGCCTTCCTTGTGGCTGTGGAGAAGATCACGACTTTAGGATCCGGGACGTTCATGAAATCAAAGCCTCCACACGTCAGCATCCATCCTGGCTGCTTTTTAAGAGTCCCCAATGGCAGCAGCCTGGCCACGCAGTCCTCCAGAGCACGGAGTCCTACTGCTGTGTCTGCTCCTCCAGGCAAAAGCAGAGAAATCCGAACCACGCAGAGGGGTGTGGATCACCCCACCCAGCTCCTACTGGCCTGCAGATCCCACCGATCCTTCTGTCCTCAGCCCATCCACGCTGCAGCTCGCTCCCCTGCACACTGGGACGCAAGGAGAGGGAAGCTCACTGCGAGAAGGCACGGGTGAGCCAAGGAACTGGCTTGACACGCGGCAGAGGGGTGCAGCACGAAGCACAAAGGCAGCAGCACTGCCGTCCTGGCTGCTCTGCCCTGGAACGCAGCATGGGAACCACTGCCCAGTGCAAATCTGTTCTTCATTATCCTCCCCGGCTGCTGATTGATGCCGGCTCAGTCACCGACGACGTGCTTTGTGGCCTGGGATGGCTCACATCCATCAGACAGGCAACTTTTTTGGGGGCTGGCATCCATCCCTCCAAGGTAATTCAGGAGTGACAGTGAGTCCTCACCTCCACGATAGGCTTTTGGTGAAGGCATGGGGCAGGGGTGGCTGCAGGAGAGAAGGGATGCGGTGGTGGCACCGGGGCAGCAGGATGCTTATCACAGATGGTGGCTGGTGGTGTGATGATGATGATGATGGTGAGTTACCACCGTGCCATCCTCTGTCACATCATTGGCAGGTTTGGGCACCAAGAGCTTGGTAGAGCTACGCGGTGACAGAAACATGGCTGGGGCAGGGAGGTCCCTGTGTAGACTGGGTGGATTGGGATGGGGTCTTCATGGAGCTTCTCCTTCACACCCTTTGAGCCTCCCGAAGCGGCCTCCAAGAAGCGGGGTTTGGTTGGGTCGCAACAGACCTGCTGCTTGGCCTGAAAATAGCTGCTGTGAAGTTGTGGCTGTGCAACTCCACGGGCAGAAGGCGGATACAGAACGGCACATGAAGATAACTCATCGCAAACAGGCCAGGGGGGAAGCCAGCTCCTTCCCATCTGCAACAGGATCCCACTCGGGGACATCAGCAATCCTGCAGAGCAGTGGAGGATCCTGTGTTGCAAGTCCCACCACCTAGTAAAAGCCCTCCCCATCCTCTCCATCAGCATCCCATAACACCGACCAGAAGCAGCATATCATGGCTCCCCACGGCTTCTCTTGGCCCCAGGAAATGAGTTATGCAGGAGGGTGGGAGCTGAGTGCCCACACGAGCAGTCAGGAGCAGAATGTAACAGTGAATGGACTGAGGTCCCAAAAATGTGTCCGCCCACATATGGTCAGCCTGAACACCCTGCCTGAATCCCTGTTTGCCTTCCCACTGCTCTCACGTGTATGGCTCTGCTGTGCTTTGTGCTTGCTGAAAAACCTGGGGAGGAGTGGGAGGTGAGAAGCTGGATGCCCATTCAGCAGTTTCCCACCGCTGACGTCTGTGTAGGTCATTCTGCAAACATCACATGAGGGAATCAGAAGTGCTCCAGAGATGGAGCAGAACGAAGAAGAGTGCGAGGTGTCCTGTGGGTCAACAGCACCCTTGCTACAACAGAGAACATGAAGCCGGCAGTTCAAGAAAAGGATTCTTCCCTTCAGTTTGATGCCTAGCTGCGTGCCAGCTCCGATTTGGGGCTCCTCAGAACAAGATACGGATTTGTTCTATTTCTGAAGCTTACCTAGGAGCCCAGTAGTCATGGTGCCATGGGAAGGCTATGGTTTTGAGACGCTGTGCAGTGCTGACCTGGGAGATGGCCAACACCACCCCTCACCCGCAGCTCGGCTCTCGCATCCTGCCGATGCCCCATTGCTGGCGCTGCCTCGCAGCCTCTGCTGACTTCACAAGTTCTGGGAAAAGGGGGAAACTGGGGGAGCCAAGCATCGGAGAAAGTAAATCGTTGTGGAAAAAATGTGCAGATCTAATGGCAGTGCTGGGAGAAGCCTGTGTGCAGAATGGTCTGCAGCAGTCAGACAGCTCCAGGATGGGGTTGCTTATAATAACAGTCGGAGGGCTGTATGTTCTGGGTTGCAGCCTGACAAGCAGCTAATTTGTTGAGCCTCTCTCCGTCCTGGAGAAGCAGAGGTTTGGGCACATGTGCTCGTGGTTTGGCCCGGTTTTTGTGTTTTTCCACTGAGGCACTTTGGTATTTTTAGGCTGAAAGAGATGGAACTGTGCTGTGCTGGAAGGAACAGCTCTGTGCAGGCAGGAAAGGGAAAGACAGAGATTGGAGGAGGAGAATAAGCACTGACAAAACCCCACGGGTGCAGGAGGGGCCGCAAACCCAACCCGGAGGAAGCAAAGCACGCAGAGGTCCCCAGCAAGCCCTGAGTCCAGACCGTGCCACCTGCTCCAACTCTGATTTATTGAACATTACAAAATACTCTGCATATAGTTTCACATTAAAACAATATTCTTGCAAATAAGATACTAAGTCTGGAGTTGTTCGTGGTGCCCACAGCTACAGAAAAAACACTGACCCAGCTAGAGATTTAGTATGGCCCAATATCAGAAATCAAAACTGGAATAAGGCATACAAGAAATGCAAAACTATATAAAAACCTTTTAAAAACCTCATGCTCCAGTTGGCAGGGCAGGTACAGAGCAGAACGGCCTTGCTAGCAGTACCGGGTGCCGCCGCCTTGCCCGACCCATGCTGGGCTCATTCACCCAGTGCATCGAAGCATCCCGATGCCTGCAGACCCAGCACCCCAGGGAGCTGCAATGGGCAGCCATGTGCTTGCTGTTAGGTGTTAGCAGCCCAAATTGGAGCATCCCCACTCCAACTACACCGAGCTCTGAGCAGATCTTGGGGAACAAGATCCTGGGGTCCCTTTTGGGTGGCTGGGGGGCAGGTGCCGGGGCAGAGCTTTGCAGATGCACTCAGCTCTCACCCATCTGCTCTCACCATCTCCCCTGTTCCTGCTTTACCATTCAGCCCTGCTGCTCCCCTTGGTGCCTTCCCAGGTGACGAGCCCTGGGCAACTAGAGGGACTGGGATGCAGGCAGAATGAAGGGTGCCATGCAGGGCTGCTGTCTCCTAGTAAAGCCAGAAAACAGAATGCTGCAGCCATGGGGAGCACACCTGGGTGAGCAGTGTGGGGCTGGCACAGCCAAACGAGTGCCAGAAGTGTCCCTGTGCGTATGCAGCCTGGCTCCCGGTGGAGCCAAACCTCAGTCCTGAGAAGGTCATGGCTTTGCTTCTGCAGTGCCTCCAGAACCCAGGGGACGGAGCTGCCGTGGAAGGGGGCTGATCTCTGCTCTCCCAACGCGCTCTGAGCAACCCAGTTCCTGGAAGCCAGAGGCTGGGTGGGGATGGGCTGTTGTGCAGCAGCCTCCTGAAGAGGCTGGAGGGTCAGCTGGAGGAGCCCATCAGCCAGAACCCCAAACCTCATGCTGGCACAGCCACAGTGGCATCAAGACCACCTCTGGGAGGAACACCTCTGGCCTCCCAGTGCTGCGATACAGGAGACAAAGACCAAAGAACAAGAGAGCCAGATGTGGGGTCTGTGCCCCCTGGGTGGATGGGACTGGTGCCTGCTCTCGCAGCATCATGCCCATCTGTCTACCAGCCTCGCATCAGCATGAGCAAAGCCCCAAAGCTCTCCGGCTGCTCCTGGAGTTGGAGGAGACACGCAGAAGCTTCACGAAGTACAACGATGGAGCAGCTGGTGGGTGGCAGCCTGCCCCACACGCCGTGTGTTTCAGATGTGGCTGGCTCTGCTGAACGCGAGCCGCCGGTGCTCAGCCGGGGGCAGCCCCCTGCCCTGCTCCTCTGTGCCCATCAGGGGCTGCAGCTCCTGCTGCTCCACACCCTCGGGGCTGCTGTCGCTCTTCGACCTGCTGCTCTTGGATATATGGCTGGGGAACTGGAAACGTGAGACCTGCTCCGGCGTCGCCTGGCTTGCTGACTGCGGCTGCTTCTCCAGCATGGGGCGGGCAAACCTCCTGTGCTGTGTTCCTGTCTCGATGCCTGGAGGAGAGGCGATGCTCTCCAGGGAGGAGATGCTTTGGTTCCATGCTTTCTGCATATCCACCGGCACGATTTTGGTGGTCTCCGAGGAGACGTAAACAGCCAGGTCAGCCTGGTCTCCTTTCCATGGCAGCTCCTTCTCTGCCAAGGTGGGTGATGGCGGGATGATGCAGGGGCTGGGGCAGACGTCCAAGCTGCCTGGGGGCGCAGAAGGAAGGACAGAGGGGGATACTGTGTGGCTCCTGCTCTTTCAAACCCTGGTACCGATGGGTACCCTTCTGATCTGGCCCATTTTGGAGGCTCTGCTGTGCCTCCATGGCCACAGAGAAGAGCAGCTCTCCCATTCATTCTCCATTCACTTTGCTCTTGCCCAGCCCAGGCCAACCTTGCTCCACAGGCAGAATAAGAACTGACATGCCTACCTGTGGTTGTCCTTCCCTGCAGGACCTCATCGGTGGCACGAGCGATGAACACGATCCCTTCATCATCCTCTCTCTCTGTCTCTGAGCTATCGCTCTCCTCCTCATCAGAGCTGACCGTCACCAGCACGGGAGCTGCAGCCACACAGGGGGTGTATGGAGGATGGTTACCCTAAGAGCTGCCCCCCTGCACCCATGGGAGAAGGATCTGGTGCCAGCATAACCCAAGCACGGACAGCATGCTGCTGCCATCCCACCCCAACGAGTCCCCTTGCAGGTTCTGAGAACCAATCCTGCGCCCTCCTTACCCGCCTCCTGCCAGGGGACGTTTCTGTGCGTCCTCCCATTGGGTGCATCGCTGGGCAGAGAGATGTTTTTCTGTAGGGGGAGAGGGATCTGAAAGGGACCCGACCCCGTCCCTAGGCTCTGCAGATGCCAAAGCCCTGCAGCACACCACGGACCCCGCAGGACCTCACTGCCCCACATCTAGTAGGGGAGCAGGAATTTGGGGATCGCTTGCCTTTTTCCTGCCCTTTTCCTTCAGCCTGGCTTTGCTCTTAGAGGAGCAGACGTTGTGCTTGGTGGACTTGAACGTCTCCAGGCGCCTCTTCATGTTCTGCCGGAAGATTTCTTTATCTTGGCGTTCTTGTTTATCTGGAGAGATGAAGTGACGGCTGTAGCTGGCCTTGTACTGGCCGAGGGAGAGGCAAAGAGACACAGGGTGAGCAGCCAGCCCCGCGCAGCACCCTCCATCCCTGCTCCTGCTGCAGGCGGCAGCGCTCACCCGCCGCCGGGGCTTGTAGAGGCTCCCACGCAGCACGTGGTGCATGGCTGCATCCTCCTTGTCCCGCCGGCTCCGCACCGTGTCGATCACCTGCAGGTCCAGGCAGGCACCACTCCCGCTCTCCCTCCTGGGGAATTGGAGCATCCCAATGGATCTGGCTCATCCCGATGGATCATGCCCATCCCAATGGATCCGACCCATCCCAATGGGTCCAGCCCATCCCAGGGATGATGCAGCCAGGGAGTGCTGCCCAGAGGCCGGGGTGTAGAGCGATGCTTGTACTCACAGCAGGTTTGTAACCGACGACTCTGACATGGACGTGCGGCTGGGCATGGAGGGCAGCGCCAGCTTGGCAGCTGACAGCACGTGGCCACCCTGGGGGAGTGACAGAGACGGTCTGGAGGGGTTCCCACCACCTCATCCAGTGGGACCCAGCTCCCACCACACACCCCTACCTGGTCCACAAAGCTGATGGCATCGCGGATGTTCAGCTTGTAGTAGACATCCCAGATCTCATCCCGCAGCTTGTAGGCAGATTTCCTCATCAGGAGCTGGCTCAGGTACTTTTTGTCAAACTGCTCCCACCTGCAGCAAGATGGACACGTGGGTGGCTAAAGTCCCACAGGGGATGGATGGATGGATGGATGGATGGATGGATGGATGGATGGATGGATGGATGAATGGATGGATACAGTGGTCATTGGACGTTTTCCCATGCAAAGTCCAAAGTGCCCAAAGCATTGGGAGAGAAGGCTGTGCCTGGGAACACCCTGGCAGAGGACAATAGGAGGGGACAGGACATGCTGCCACGTTGTCCCCAAGCCAAGGGGAAACCGGAGACCCAGTGACGGGCGCAGGGCTGGAGCTGGTGCAGCTGCCCAGACAGAGCTTCTCTCCAGGAAGCAGGCTCTCTGCACGCTTTTCCTGTTGCAATTCTGCAGACAAACACTCAAAATTTTAACACTTCCTTCCTCAGTATCCAGTGTGTCTCTGTCTGGGGAGGCACAGTGACATCATGGCCACCACAGTCCTGCAACAGCTCCAGCATGGGCAATGCCACCTTGTGCCTTGAGTCACCTCTGCCCAACCTCTCGTTAGGACACTTCTGGAGCAGCGGTTTGCATTGGACCATGCAGATGGACAGACATACCCCTTCCTGGTCCTCCTGCCTTGCCTACAGCAGGACTGCCCACCTTGGGATGTCCCCATGGCTGCCATACCACCCCGTCCAGCTGAATGCCAGCAGACAAGACACTCACTTGTCCCGCCAGTAGTGGTAGCCATGGTGTCCCACGATGTCCTCCACTGCTGCCAGGATGTGGTCAAAGGCCTGGAGTGAAGGAGAAAAGGGTGAGAGTGCTGGAGAGTGACCCAGGCTAAGCATGCCTCATCCTGGACTGCAGGGAACACCTACATGCTCATGTAGCTCCTCATTCAGTGTGGGTTTGTGGTGGTCGCTGCGTTTCACCTTCAGCCACGTCACCAGTGGTTTGATGGTGAGGCCCTGGAATGGCAGGAGAGGGCATGGGAAAGATTGGGAGGGCAAGAGGGTGCGTGGATAGGGCTTAAGAGCAAAAGGAGCACAAAGTGACCAGGGCCATTGGTAGTGACAGCCACGTGCAATGTTCCCACTGTCCTTTGGGTCTGTGTGATGGCACTGTGGGGATCTGACACCTGGTACCTACGTCCCAGGTCGTGCTCCTCCAGACCCCAAGGCTGGCATCTGCCCACGGTGCCGCTCCCCAAGGGCAAAGTGCCCATTCTCACCTGCACGATGACAGTGAAGAACACCACCACGATGGTCGTTGCCACAAAGTAGTCCTTGGCTTTCACCTTTGCCTTGTCCAGCAGGATGACCAGGGCGAAGGCGACGGCTCCACGGAGGCCGCCGTATGACATGACCACCTGGTCAATCCTGTCCAGGGGGATGAGGCGGAAGTGGTTGAGGACGTAGGTCTGGAGGACAACACCTGGAGAAGAACGAGGACGAGAGTCTGGGATGCCACCGGAGCCCCATAGATGAGGCAAAGCCAAAGCCAGGAGCCGTTCTTGGAGGCTGCTGCTTTTTGGCAGGAAAATAGCTGGGACAGCAGGACAGACTGACCCACAGCTCTGAAGAGCAGGATGAAGAACAGGGTGCCCAGCACCAGCGCGGTGTCCCATGTCCACTTGGAAGTGTCCACAGCTGACATGCCCAGAAACATGAAGATGATGGTCTCTGAGCTGCTGGCCAGCGTCTTCATGGTGTACTTGACCGTGGTGCGGGATTTCTGGGAGATGTTGGCTTCCACGTACTTCTTGCAGCAGATCCCACAGAAGGTGACTCTGCAGAGGGGCAGAAGGAGCTGGCATGACCCCTATGGTGAGCACCCCTCATTTCCTGGGGCTCCCCAGTACTCACGCCAGGATGGCGGAGAGCGAGACCATCTCAGCAGCCAGGTAGGCAACATAGGCCAGAAGGAAGACAAAGAGCGGCTCGATGATGCGCACACGTTTGGTGAACCGTGTGATGAGGGCCAGAAGGAAGGCGAAGAGCAGCCCCACGGCCGTGCCCCCCAGACTCACCAGAAAGAAGGAAGCTGAGGGGAAGAGGTTGGGTTGCACCTTTGGTGAGACCCCTTGCCAAGCCCCGTGCTCCCACCTGACTCCCCACCAAAGCATCCAGTGATGATGGCTGAGATGGGCTTAGTGATTGCCCACAGCATGACAGCACCCATGCTCCTCCCCTGTTCTCTATGCTACAGGAAGAGCTGGCACGGCACATACTCACCTACCCCCTTCACGTAGTCCGTGGCATGGATGTGTGCTGGGCCAAGCTCCACAAAAGAGTTGAAGACCTTGTACAGCACCTGCAGGCAACATAAGTCCTTTGGAAATGGCAGAGAAACTCCCTACCATGGGAGGGGCAGCACAGGTGGGCAGGATGGACCCAAGCATTCCCCTGAGGCCAGCACAGTGGAAGGACCCAGTGGCACGGGGTTGCCCCCAGACTGGGGAGGTCACCTGCACCCTCTGCCCAATCTGGGGGATTCCAGTGCCTGGCCCATATTGGGCTCCGTTTTTATAGGATCACAGACTGATTTGGGTCGGAAGGGACTCTTATGGGTCATCCAGCCCAGTCCCATAGCATGGGCAGGACACAGAATCAGTAGAATTATTCAGGTTGGAAAAGATTACCAAGATAACGAAGTCCAACTCCAGCTCACCCCCACCATGCCCACTGCCCATCTCCACGGTTCTTGACCACCTCCAGGGATGGGGACTCCCCCACCTTCCAGGGCAGCCTGTTCCAATGCCTCACCACTCCTGAGAATAATTTTTTTCCTAATATCCACTCTGAACCTCCCCTAGTGCATCTTAAGGCCATTACCTCTCATCCATCTTTCACTACATAAAGTTGCCCAAAGCCACGTCACCCTGATGCTGAACACTTCCAGGGATGGGGCACCCAAAGCTTCTCCAGACAACCTGCTGCAGTGCCTACCACCCTCGTTGTCATTAGGACTGCAGGGCCCCCCTGGCTCCAACTCACCACAGTGACAGCATCATTCAGGAGGGACTCGCCAAACACAATGATGAAGAGGGTCTCGTTTACATGGACCTCTTCAAAAACTGCCAACACTGCCACAGGGTCCACAGCCGAGATGAGGCTGCCGAAGAGCAGGAAATCCATCAGCCCAGCTTCCACGCCTGGATCTGCTGGGACAGAAGGATAGAGGTGAGGAGGGTCATTCTCCCCACGTGAGGGACTGTGAAGGTGAAACAAGCCATCAGACCTCTGAGGTCTCCCTAAGGTGATGTGGGGTTTGGCACATGAGGGAAGAAGTGCTTGGACCAGGCACCAAGAGGTTCCTCCGGGCTCAGAGGAGCTCAAAAGAAGGCCCAGGCCAAGCAGGGCCAGCAGCTCCAGCCGAGGACAGGGAACACGGCAGCGAGCCAGCAGAGCTAGCCAAGGTCGGCGACAAAAATAGCAAAGCCATGAGTCAGCCCAATGCTAAGAAGGTCCCCTTTGTCCTCCACACTTGCTGGTCCTGCCAGAACATCATTCCCAGCTCCTGAAAGCTATGGGATCCACGCCAGGGCTGTAAATCTGGGAGCCTTTTGCATCTTCCCACCCCTTTTGGTGACGTGGGCTCCCCCAGCACCCACCCATCAGCCCTGCCTGGTGCAGGCCCCAGAGCGCCGTGCCGGTGGTGAAGGAGTTCCAGAGCGTGCCCACAACCGCGTAGGTGAGGATGGCACCGATGTTGTCGAAGAACAAGCGGCTGGGCATGAAGTAGCCCGAGTCCAGGACGATGGGGGGCAGGAGGAACAGGAAGAACATGTTGGGCTCCAGCTGGTATTTGGGTTTCTTGGCCACGGCCAACACAATGCCGCCCAGGCCCAGCCCCAGCAGGATGAGGAGGCAGCTCTCCGGCACGACGGAGGTCACCTTCCTGGACAGGTGGAACACTGAAGGAAGGAAGAATGTGAGCATCAGCCAGATGGGCATGGGGACAGAGCACTGAGCATCAGCCGCATGGGCACAGGGACAGAGCACCCTGGGTCCACCGAGTGCATGTGAGTACAAGACCTCCCAGTTAGTTGCTCACTTGGCTGCCCTGCTACCACCACGAAGCCCAGTCCCTAAAGCTCTAAATGGGGTGCTTGTGCCAATCAGCCCACCAGGAGGAAGGCTGTGCTGTGGTCTGACATCAACCTTAGGACATTGGGCTCCTTCCCTCCCCACGAACTCCATGGATGGACCGCAGCTCTACCCAGCCCAGGGTCTTTTCACCAATGGTGTAAACCTTGAGAGAAGCTCAGGAACTGGCTTCCATGTCTCTACTGCATGTGCCTGTCTGCTCTGAGCCTGTCCCAGATCAGGATCTCAGGTCCTCCACCTCCCAAATCACTGCCATATAAGCCAAGCAGTTGGGCATTTTGCTTTTTTAGTGCAGTGCTGGCAGGCAGTGCTGGCTGCTGTTCAAGTGAGGCATCCTGCTCACAGGAACACAGCATACCCCACACAGGGATGGAGACGCTCAGCCCTGGTGATGGGTGACCTTGTTTGCAGCTGTCTGAGCATGCAGGTGGAGCAGCATGCAAACACTGCAGCACGACGAGCGCGTCGGCCAGAGTGCTGGCTGACCTACCTGCATGCAAACAGAAAGTATGCGAGAGCTGCAGATGAAGGGATCCTTGCAATAATCAGCTTATTCCAGCAAGCCATGAAAGAGGATGTATTTAATGGAGCAAGCTGATCACACCCTCATATTCATATATTAGCCCTGTGGCAAGGAGCCTGATGGCACAAGGCCACGTCACGCCAGCCAGCAGTGGGGTCATGCTCCTCGTGGCAGCCTTGTCCCCATGTAAACCCAAATCATTGCAGCCTCTTGGCAAAATCAGCAGGGCAACCCACGGATTCCTTTGTATTTCTCCCTCCTCCCACCACTGAGGTCTTGCAGTCATCACTGGTGACACCCCAGGGTTGTGGCACAACTTGGCCATCAGGTGAAGGCATCGTAGGGTCATTAAGGTTGGAAAAGAGCTCTCAGATCCCCAACCTCAGCCCACCCCCACCGTGCCCACGTCCCTCAGTGCCACATCCCCACAGCTCTGGGGCACCTCCAGGGACAGTCACTCTCCCACCTCCCTGGGAGCTGTGCCACCGCCTCACTGCTCTTTGGGAGAATAAATTATTCTGAACATCCGACCTGAACCTCCCCTGGTGCAACTTGAAGCCGTTACCAGGAACCAGCAGGCACCTTGTCTCAAGTAAAGGGACATCACAGTTTCCAGACCATCATAAATCTCAGTCCTGAATGTTCTGGGTGAGAGAAGCCTGTTGCTTGTGCCAATCAACCCGCCAGAAGGAAGGCTGCACTGATCAAAGAAGTTCACAGCATCGATGGGAGAAGCCCTGCATGCACACAGCCAGGGCACGGGAACACTGCTGGCTTTGTTGCTCTGCACATTGCCGCCCTCACAGCAAATCCCAGCACATGAGCTGCTCTGCAGCAGGGACGGGTGGCAAGAGCTCTAATTTTACACCCGCTAGGCAAGAATTTCAGCATTAACGTTCCCACAGCAACAGTAACTCAGCCACATGTGAATTAACTTCAGAGGCATCATCCCCGCTCCAGACATCCCCAGCATGGGATGTGCCATCGGGGGGGACTCGAGGACAAACCCTGCTCCCCCCCCACTGGGCTTAGGGTCAATCATGGAGTCATTAAGGTTGAAAAAGAAAGCTAAGATCGTCAAGTCCAACCACTGACCCATTGGCACCATGCCACTAATTGTGCCCCAGCAGGCTTGGAGACACCAAAACCAATTGGTGCTGGGAGCAGTGGGGTTGGGGTTGGATGCAAAGGGAGAAGGTCAGGACCCACAGTCCCTTCCCTGCAGCCCTTTGTGTGGGTGAGAGGTGGCTGTGGGGCAATGCTCATCACTTCTCCTTTCCCTCGTCCCCGCAGGAAACAGAGCAGGAAAGGCAGCAGAGCCTGGATGATGCCTCGCTGTGCAGGAAGCCAACACTCAGCCCGGTTTTCTCCGCCTCAGGCATTTGCCTGCTGCTTGCTCGGGGCACCCCGGCATCGTGATGGTTTCCAAGAACAAGAGCCTACAGTTTCACTTCCCCATCACACAGCGCTGAAGACGCTTCCGCCCCTGCAGTCACAGGGCTGAGAGCTGGCAGCAGCTCTTCTGCACCAGCCCGCGCCCAGCACCCAGCACCCAGCATGGCCACCCCACCCTTGGGGACCCTCTGACCCCGTCCCCATCTCCTCCCGTGCCCCTGGGCACAGCAGTGCCAGGGCTAGAAGCAGGGGTAGGATGCATCCCCAGGCCATGGGATACTGCTGTCACATCACTGCCAGCAAGCACCAAGCTGTGCCCACCCAGGTGGCTCACGGTGGCTTCTCTCACCCCACAACCAAACGTGGGGTGGGAAAGGGAACGCACCAAGGGAAACCCAAATAGACGAGCTGCCCGAGAATGAGGCATGGAGCCAGAGCTCCTGTCTCTGTGCTGCACTCGGCAGCTGGAGGTGGTGGCACAGCTGCAGGCGGAGGGCTCGATGTCTCAGCTCATGATTTATTCCTTGCAGAGGTTTAGCTGTGAGAAGGCCGAGGGAGGATGGAGCGCGAGGTGCACAGCCGTGGGCTGGGTGATGCTGGAGCAGGAGGAGGGCGGCTGACAGTGACAGCAACACCCTGCCCTGGGTGTTAATGCATCCCCGCTCCCCCAGCAGCACTTCGAGGAGGACACCCGCTTCAAGGTCACTGTCACACCTCCTGGGTGCCCGCTTCGTGCCACGTGGCTCCGGTGTGACCCACCAGCGATGACCACCCAGCACCGCTCCCAACCGTGACAGCAGCTCACCCCACGGGCTGTCCCCTGTGTGCCCACCCTGGGGGGCCACCGATGTGCCTCCTGGGTGTCACCAGCCAGGCTCTGCTCCATCACCGCTCATCACGCCCCCGTGGCAAAGAATGGTGACCCTCCGGGGGCCACCGAGCGCCGTGCTGTCACCTCCGGGGTGACGCGGGACCGCCCTTCAGCCCGGTGTCAGCCCACCCCCCAGCTGTCACCGCTGCCCATCCCGGGGCCGCGTCACCCGCGGAGCCCCCCGTCCCGGCGGCACTCACCGATCTTGGCCAGGCTGGCCACCAGGATCCAGGCGGCCACCAGGCATGGCACCTGCACCTCCTGCCACTGCCACCGGAGCAGCTCGGCTCCCGCCGGAGGGACGGCGGCGGGGCCGGGGGAGGCCGGGGTGCCGCTGCCCGGGGGATGCATGGCCCCGCACCTCCGTCGCTCCGCAGCTCCGCCGGCCCCGCCGCGACGTCACCGACAACGGCGGGGGCAGAGCCCGGCCCGCCCCGCAGCGCCCGCCCCGCCCCGGAGCTGCTCCATCCGCCCCGGTCCCCGGCGCTGCACAGGTCCCAGCGATGCTCAGGTGTCACCACCACCTGCCCCGGTGCCGCCCCCCGCAGCCGCCGCGGTCCCCAGTGCTGCCCGATGCCACCCCCACCTGCCCCGCTACCATCCCCGCCCACCCCGGTCTCCAGTCACCTTTATTGCGCCAGTCCCCCACACTGCCCCAGTGTCACCTCATCTGCCTTAGAACCCAATGCTGCGGTGTCACCTCAGCAGTCCCACCCGCCCTGGTCCCCAGCATCACCCCGATGCCACCTCCTGGTCGCCAGCACTGCCCCGCTCACCCCAAGCAGCACCTCCATGCCACCTCACCCCAGCTCTGGTCCCTCTGTACGTGCCCCAAAGCCTCCCACCCCTCAGTGGTCTCCTTGCACCTGCCTTGATCCCCCCCCCCTTCACCACCCTGATGTCCCCTTCATCTCCCTTGCTATTCCCTCCATCCCCTGCTGTCCCTCTGTCCCCCTGCTGTCCCCTGCATCACCTTCTGTGCCCCCATTACCTGCTGTCCCCTCCATCCCTTGCTGTCCTCTCTATCCCCCTGCTGTTCCTCCATCACTTACTATCCCTCCATCACCTGCTGTACCTCCATCAAATACTTTCCCTTCGTCACCCGCTGTCCCTCCACCCCCCCGCTATCCCCTCCATCCGCCTGCTGCACCATCACCTGCTGTCAGGTGATCACCATCACTATCCCTCCTTCACCTGCTGTCTCCTCCATCACCTGCCGTCCCCCTGCCCCCCTACCGTCCCCCCGAGGGACCATCCCTGCACACCCCACGCACGCAGAGCATCCCCGTGCACCTGGAGCCCCTCAGTGCCTTCGGAGCATTCCTACGTCCTCTCGCCCCCCGCAGCCCCCCAGCCCCCCATCCCTTCTCCCCGCCCCCTTTTAACCTTTTGGAGCTTCCCGAGCAAGGCCCTGCTTACACCCGCGGAGGGCGCCCGAGCGCGGGGCGGTGCCGGCGCAGTGCCGGGGCGGTGCCGGGGGGCCGTCCCTGTGCCACCCCCGGAGCACCGGACGCTGTGCGGCGGCGGCCGTGGCGGTGCCACCATGGCGGAGACTGCGGTCCCGTGCCGGGTGCAATACCTGGAAGACTCCGATCCCTTCGGTTGCGGCAGTTTCCCGGAGCCCCGACGTGCGCCTGTTTACGCCGTGGAGGAAGCGCTGGCCCTGGGAGCTCAGCTGCCCGCGGTGCACCGGCTGCTGGGAGCGCCGCTGCCGGTAAATAAGGGGGACGGGAGGTGGGGAGGGCGCGCTGAGCATCCCGAGCGTGGCTGTGGGGCTGGGGTCCCGTGGGGCTGCGCGGTTGCTGCTTGGGGATAGAGGAGCGGTGGAGGGCTCGGAAAACTCTCTGCAGAGAGCGGGCACAGCCGTATCCACACCCCCACGTCGGAAGGACGTGGCTGTGTGGCTGTAGCCATGCGCTGCCATGGGGACACTGCTGCTGCCGCGGTGACCGGAGCGTGGGCAGTGTCACCGCGTGTCCCCGAGAGCCGCGGGGTCTGCCTTCGTTCCGCCTGATGCCAACCCGCCCGGAGTCGCAGAGGAAGTGGCTTTGCCTTTTCAGGCCGGTTCCCATCCGACTGCAATGGCTTGGGGCTCTGTGTCGGCATCCCACGGCACACTGCGGTGGAGCGCGGTGAGCCCCCAGCACGGCCCGAGCGTGGGATTCAGCCGCCTGGCCGTGCACGGGGCTGCGGGGCTGCCTGCCCCTTGTCCTACTCAGCGTTTGCATGGGCTGGAAGGAAAGCCCCGCAGAAAATCTTGCACTGAGCAACTTCCTCTGGGAAGTGGGGAGGGAAGGAGGCACAGAACCGGGGGTCTGAAGCACTGCTGGCGTCCCAACCCAGGCTGGAGCCTCCTATCCCCACTTCCTTCCTGCCTGGGGATCCCCTGTTGGTGGGTTGCCATCGGAGTGCTCTTTCCCGTCCCTTCCTGTTGGGGGGTGGGGGGGTTTTCTCCCCTTCCTCCCCTTTCTTCCACGGGCCTGGGACACTTCAGCCATGGCTGCGCATCTCCATGGCACCAATGCGCAAAGCTGGGGGCGAGGCAATGGAAAGAGGGTTGCTGCGAGACCTTCCCCTGGGCAAACGAGCTCCGTTCGTCCCCACTTTCATTTTTTCATGAGGCAGAGCAGCAGCCTCTCATGGTGTCCCCGTCATGGGATTTTTGGCTGCTGACTAAATGCAGTTTGTTTGGGAACACGCAGCTCCAGACATGACGAATGGGGCAAACTCAAATTTCAGGCATGCGTCCTCCCCACCCCGGAGCTGTAACGGGATCGGCGGCCCGGGGTGCCACCATGGGGACAGGGACATTGTGGAGCTGGAGCCAACCCCCCTCCCCACGCAGTGCCCACGCTGCCAGGTGCCTCTCACAGCCCCATTACTCACCGTGCTATAATTAGGAAATGAACAGTCATTATTAATTTTTTCCCCTATAAACCTCAGCCCTGGACGCTGCGCTCGTCCCGCTTCGCTCAGCAGCATCCTCCCACCCTGGGTGCCCCAAATCCCCCAGAATGGAGCCGTGCAGGATTTACTCTCCCTGCCCACAGGCCCCTCGCTTCCTCTCCGTGCA